TGGGGTTTTTTTGGGGGTTTTACCTGACAAAAGGGTCCCCCCGGGTGTTGGGCCCCACCACCTCCATGCTGCTGGTGTAGACGAGGATCGGAACCCCCTGGGCCCGGCAAGCTCTGATCACGTTCTTGGTGCCTGGGGAGTGGGCCCAAAACAGACCCAAAATGTCCCAAAAATATCCCAAAAATATCCTGAAATTGTCCCCAAAAAAATCCCAGAAAATATCCCAAAAATATCCTGAAATGATCCCAAAAATGTCCCAAAAATATCCCAAAAATATCCTGAAATTATCCCCAAAAATGTCCCAAAAATATCCCAAAAAACCCCAAAAATGTCCCAAAAATATCCTGAAATTATCCCCAAAAATGTCCCAAAAATATCCCAAAAAACCCCAAAAATATCCCAAAAATATCCTGAAATTGTCCCCAAAAATGTCCCAAAAATATCCCAAAAAACCCCAAAAATGTCCCAAAAATATCCTGAAATTATCCCCAAAAATGCCTCAAAAATATCCCAAAAAACCCCAAAAATGTCCCAAAAATATCCTGAAATTGTCCCCAAAAATGTCCCAAAAATATCCCAAAAAACCCCAAAAATGTCCCAAAAATATCCTGAAATTATCCCCAAAAATGTCCCAAAAATATCCCAAAAAACCCCAAAATTTTCCCCAAAATTATCCCAAAAATATCCTGAATTTATCCCCAAAATATCCCAGTCCATCCCAGTCCCTCCCAGGCCATCCCAGTCCATCCTAGTCCCTCCCAGTCCCTCCCAGGCCATCCCAGTCCATCCTAGTCCCTCCCAGTCCCTCCCAGGCCATCCCAGTCCATCCTAGTCCCTCCCAGTCCCTCCCAGGCCATCCCAGTCCATCCTAGTCCCTCCCAGTCCCTCCCAGGCCATCCCAGTCCATCCTAGTCCCTCCCAGTCCCTCCCAGGCCATCCCAGTCCATCCTAGTCCCTCCCAGTCCCTCCCAGCTCCACTTTCACCCCCAAAATCTCCATTTTTCACCCCAAAACCACCGGGTTTTTTACCCCCAGTCCCTCCCAGTCCATCCCAGTCCATCCCAGTCCCTCCCAGTCCCTCCCAGTCCATCCCAGTCCATCCCAGTCCCTCCCAGTCCATCCCAGTTTACCCAGTACGTTGACCCTGGCGATGGCCTCGGGGCTGCAGTTCCCCCACACGTCCACCAGGGAGGCGCTGTGGAAAACCACCCGGGCACCCCCAAAAACGGCGCCGAGAGCCCCAAAATCGGCGACATCTCCGTGGAAAAGCCGGACTCGAGAGCCTGGAGAGACCAAAAATGGGGAAATTTGGGAAAATTTGGGAAAATTCGGGGAAATTTAAAAAAAAAATGGGAAAAATCGGTGAAAAAATGGGAAAAAACGACCCAAAAATGGGGAAATTTGGCCCAAAAACGGCCCTGAGAGCCCCAAAATTGGGGATTTTACCGGGGAAAAATTGGAATTGAGAGCCTGGAGAGACCAAAAATGGGGAAATTTGGGAAAAATTGGGAAAATCTAAAAAAAAAATGGGAAAAAACGGTGAAAAAATGGGAAAAAACAGTGAAAAAATGGGAAAAAACAGTGAAAAAATGGGGAAAAATGAGGAAAAAAGGGGAATTTTAAACTCAAATTTCAGGATTTAAAAAGTGAAAGTTCAAGATAATTTCAGGATTTTTTCTTTAATTTTAGGGAAATTTTTTGGGAATATTTTTCTGGGATTTTGGGAATTTTTTGGTGAGAATTTTGGGCTTTTTAAACTCAAATTTCAGCATTTAAAGGGGAAACTCGGGGGGAATTTCAGGGAATTTTTTTCTGGAATTTTGGGGATTTTTTTGGCATTTTTTGGGAATTTTTTGGGAATTTTTTGGGAAATTTTTGGGAATTTTCTGGGGATTTTCTGGGAATTTTTTGGGAATTTTTGGGAATTTTTTGGGATTTTTTTGGCATTTTTTGGGAATTTTGGGGGGATTTTTTGGGAATTTTCTGGGAATTTTTTGGGAATTTTTTGGGAATTTTTGGGGGATTTTCTGGGGATTTTTTGGGAATTTTTTGGCATTTTTTGGGAATTTTTTGGGAATTTTTTGGGATTTTTTTGGCATTTTTTGGGAATTTTCTGGGAATTTTTTGGGAATTTTCTGGGAATTTTTTGGAATTTTTTGGGAATTTTCTGGGAATTTTTTGGGAATTTTTTGGGAATTTTTTTTGGGAATTTTTTTGGGAACTCACGGTGCCGTTCCGGAACGATCTCGGGATCGGGGTTGAGGTCGAGGATTCGAAGCTCCCGAAGCTCCGGCTCCGCCTCCAACAACACCTGGACCAGGTGAGATCCCAGGAACCCGGATCCGCCCGTCACCACCATCACCAGCCCCTGGAAAAGCCAAAATTCCCGCGGGAATTCCGGGAATTCCGGGAATGGGAAAAATTCCTGAAAAAATCCGGCCGGGAAAGGCCAAAATCCGCGAAATTTGCGTCAAAATCGGCCAAATTTGACCCAAAATCTTCAATTTTGGCCCCAAAATCTTCAATTTTTGCCTCAAAATCCGACTGGGAATTCCCAAATGGATCCGGAAATCCCGAAATTCCAGCCCAGAATTCCCAAAAATTCCCTTTGGGACCTCAAATTCAACTCCAGGATCCCAAAATTATCCAAATTCCAGCCTGGGTCCCAAAAATCCACAAAATTCCCCCCAAAAATCCCCAAAAGCGACTCCAAAACTCCCGAAAATTCCTCAAAATTCAAAAAAAATCCCCAAAATTCCCCAAAATTCCCAAAAAATCCCCAGAATTCCCCAAAAATCCCCCAAATCCCCCCAAATCCCCCCAAAATCCCCAAAATTCCCCAAAAAATCCCCCAAAATTCCCCCAAAAATCCCAAAAATCCCAAAAAATCCCCCAAAATCCCGAAAATTCCCCAAAATTTTCAAAAAATCCCCAAATCCCCTCAAATTTCCCAAAATATCCCAAAAATCCCCCAAAATCCCCCAAATCCCCCCCAAAAATCCCAAAAATCCCAAAAAATCACCCAAAAAATCCCGAAAATTCCCCAAAATTCTCAAAAAATCCCCAAATCCCCTCAAAATTCCCAAAATATCCCAAAAATCCCCCAAAATCCCCCAAATCCCCCCCAAAAATCCCAAAAATTCCCCGAAAATTCCCCAAAATCCCCCCAAAATCCCCAAAACTCCCAAAATTTCCCCAAAAATCCCAAAAATCCCTAAAACTCCC